TTACTGGTGCAGAGGTTGGTGCTGAGAAGCGAAGCAACCCAAGGTGACACAGCAAGAGATGTGAAGAGGTGTATTCCCTAGACTAGAAGGGGCAGTAGAAGGTAGGGCTGCTAGCTACCTACAGAGGAGATGGGGGATCGACGAGAAGATTAAGTCTGAGGTTCCCTGCCTCAGATTCCCTACTATATATACTAATACAACGGTGCACAGACCAGGTACCTATTGACCATCGTTTGGTCAGAGTTCTCTGCCTCATGTCCTACCCTCTGACCTGCCTCATGGTGACCTTACGACTAATACCTGAGTCGTGCCGAGTCCGGACTCCTTCCAATGAGTAAGCGCTCCTGCTGTCACATCAGTCACCTGCCAGTGAGTGAGGATGGGCGCTCCTGGCCGTCACGAGTTCTGGGGTTCGATCCTGGCCCCTCCACTTTCCGATACGAGTTGTCCGTGGTTAAGGTGAGCGTCTGTCCTAGTTCACATGACCCCCAGGTCACGTGGCACGAGAAAACTGTGACACTCACCTAGTCCTAATGATCAAGAGGTCGAGATGGGGACTAGGGAGCGCCTAAGGGGGTCCTTATATACTAGAGGGGCTGCTTAGCAACCGAAGACAAAGCGCAAGAGCAAGGCAGTGAAGATGACAAAGGAAGAACAAAGGGTGAGAGAGAAAAGGCAAGAGTATGGTGATCACGGGAACAGAGCATGTGGCTGTGAGAACGTATCTACAATGTCCAAACTGGGATGGGCTAGGAAAGGAAATGGTCTGAAATTGGAAGGTGGGTGTCAAAGGAAAGGGAATGGGTGGCAAAAAGGGGCGCCTGTCCAGCGTCCGTGACACATTCATATTATGAAGTGTACTCTATAGCACACTCCATATTATATACATAGCTCCAGACATCACACATATATAAGTCCTAGCAGGTGGAACTCAAGGTGAGGTATCACCACTTTGTCTAAGTTGAGCAGTGATGGATATATATAGCACTTGTGGAGAGGATCTATATAAACTCTAGTGGTATAGTGGCATAGAGCACCTGTCACAGTTTTCTCATACCACGTGACCTGGGGGTCATGTGCACCAAGGCAGACACTCACCTTAATTATGGACAACTTGTATTGGAAACCGGAGCAGCCGGATCTGAACCCCAGACCTCGTGAAGGCTGGGAGCGCCCACCATTACTCACCGGCAGGTGACTAGTGTGTTAGCAGGGGTGCTTACTCATGAGCAGAAGTCTGGCCTTGGCATGGCTCAGGTATTAGTCGTAAGAAGGTCATGAGGCAGGTCAGGGGACAGGACATGAGGCAGAGAACTCTGACCAAATGATGGTCAATAGATACCTGGTCTGTGCATGTGCACTATTGTATTAGTATAAGTAGTATGGGGTCTGAAGCAGGGAAACCTCAGACTTGATCTTCTCGTCAATCACCCATCTCCTCTGTAGGTAGCTAGCAGCCCTACCTTCTACTGCCCCTTCTAGTCTAGGGAATACATCTCTTCATACCTCTTGCTGTGTCACCTCTAGTTGCTTTGCTTCTTAGCACCAACCTATGCACCAGTAAGCTTGCCTTTGTTTGTTTGGTGGCACAGCTTGTTGGCTGCGACAAGTTGTAACATAGCACAGTATATGGCAGGATTCTGGAAGGACTTAGGCATGGGGCATAACAGATGCCAAAACTCAATGATTCAGAGGCTAGAGAGCTCCATGACTCAAGATGCAGAGTTGCTCAAGGTTTGAGTTCAGTTGCCATTAGGCTCAGAGTGGCACCCCCAGCTAAACCACATATATCATGATGAATCTGCTTTCAATTTTGGGTGCATTGTACACAATAATTTCAGGTTAATGAGTCTATAAAGCTCTCCCAATGTCATCATCCACTTGGTTCCCTGGGCAAGTCAAGCATGGGACAATATTAATGCTGTTCATCTTGCTACCGCACCCGCTGCCCACCTCTGCTCGCTGTGCTTCAGGCGCTTGAGTCCAGGTAGGTAGGCGCGCGGTGAACCGAGCGAGCGACAAGAATTGAGCATGCATATTGAGCACGCATATTGTCGCATCGGAACCACACCAGCTCTGAGGCCCCGCAAACACAATGAATAGGCTCGCGGTATTGTATAAAACAGGCATATGAGTTGTACAATCACAGCATCTCCATAGTTCAAACTCCCTTCAAGAGCCACTTTTACATACATACATTGGGCCGAGGGGCGAAGTCACGGCCCACGAAAGATAGTTCACCCGCCCACCTACATAACGTGACCAGCCATGTCTTAGGGGAAGGATTCGATTAAGCGATACGGAACTGCTGGGATATACTCAGTCTGGTCCCCGTCGTGTGCGTGTCAGGAGCAAAGTAGACTACAAAGCCACTACCGGGGTGGAAACCGCCAGGCGGTGCTTGGGTGACGACAATGCTGCCAACGGTGCTATCGACAAATGCAAGAAGCACTTGTGACACTGGAGGCTTCAATTGCTGCCTTGTGGTCAGCGATTAGTGTGTGCAGCATGTGCCGACTCGATACGAGACACACCTGATTGTTGAGAACAACTGTGACGTTCTCCGAGTCGGTAGAAACTTTGGTCCAAGCGATCGTGTTGGGACCGTCCGCAGCCCAGACGGTCGTGCTAGAGGGTTCGGTGATGAGGAACGCGAACGTTGGGGTGAGGGCAGCAAGCAGCGCCAGGACGGGATGCATCATGCACGACGGTACGACAGGGGAGTTAGCGTGAGATGCTTGGAAGACGACTAATGGTGGATGTAGAACTGGGAACGTAGCACGTACAACGGCTGAAGAGCTTATCATGACCTTCCTCGACAACACGAGAAGTCGAAGGGTGCAACGCAACGAACAGGAAGATGATGCTGGCTGCATATAGAAGTTGGTTGCGAGACATGTTGCGTCTGACCGCCCTGCGGATGATGCAGTCCCGCTGGCTGGTCACACTTGCGGTGAGAGATAACATATGGGAGGGGCGCGCTGACACGCCAGATAGCCAGTGTATCAACGGTCTCGGAGTACTCATCTAAATGCCCGACTTCGACGAAGGCCCTGCGCAGGAAATGAAAGCCTCGCTGGAAAGCCATAGACCAGACGAAGAGACGTGACCAGGGAGAGCGGGAAGGACGGAGATGGGCTCCTGCGGACTGAGCGACAGCGACGTCGCAACGCGGGCAGTGTTGCCGAACGCCGATGGAGTACTGTGAGAGTTGAGGAGGTGTGAGCAGACGACATCTGGGCCTTGCAGCGACGGAATCATCTCCAGGGAACGACGGGACATACGGACGAGGTTGTGGTTTGGACGGGAGGAACAAGTACTTACTACTATGTAGTATGAACGCAAACGTCGCAAAGGCGATCTGGACCATAGGCGTGGGAACGCGGGCGGTGGCGGGATCGCAACGGGCAGCCTGAAGCTGGAGTGTAACATACACTGCACTCTATCGGCCTTTGTCGTCGTCTCTCTCCATTCCTATCTTCTCCATTATTCTCTTGCTTCTCATCTTGTGCACTTCGGCCGTATCCTCGCCACTCGCTTTGTCCATACATCACTTCTTGTCTCCCCCGATATTTCTCTCACTAGGCATCGATCCCTCACCATGAGACGCGCCGGTTCAACCAGGGCTACCTCCCCGACAAACACCACATACTCAGGCATCTCCAACTACCGCACAGACTCCTACAAACCCTTGATGCGAGACGCCCCAAACAAGGAATACACAACTCCCGATCCTCGCGCCGTTGCGCGCATACACTTCGAGGAGCTTAGCCAGTATCTGGCCGCCTACCTAGCCAAAGGTATGCTCTACTATCAGCTCGGCACACTTTCCGGTCTATCGCCATGAGGGAGGCGGATTGCAGCACAGCGGCTATGGCTGTGTTCATTCTGTCTGGAGGTCGGTCAGCGAAGCATTTGTTCGCCTTGGATTCGGGTGCATCGGCAGACAGCTGCAATCAAGCACGCTCTGCGCGCATGCCCCGACCTCTGTTGGCTCGCGCCCTAGGGTGCATGCAGGCAGCAATCATAGCTCGCGCCTTTGGGCCACCGCAGCAACGTTCGTTAAGTAACCCCAAGTCCACCTTTGTGTGCAGCTCTATACGCTTCAGGGGGAGTGCTCCTACGTTGTTTGTTGAACCCTTCACTTGGATGTTGCGCTGCTTCTGTAGCGGCGATTTGAGGCACGTCTGTTACTTTGCCGTTCATGCATGCCGACCCGGTCCCCGGCCGGAAATTCGATGGCGGGGTCCAGTGCGCCGCTTCACATGGTCTCACCCAATGTCTCCTTCCAGAGTGAATGATTGTATCGTATGCTTTCAATCGGAGAAGTTACGACCGAACTGTGGCTGGTGCTTCTTGGTGCGAGAAGTCCGCTCCGGCCTGTCGTTGCATGGCTCTCGCCGACATGGACGCATATAATTTGCAACCCCCTTCCCGAACGACAAGCATGCGGCCTCATTTGCCACTGCATGGGCTTCAGATCCGCGGACCTTTGTGGAGATCTCCATGACGTCTGCTGAAGTTCCACCAGAGCGGGGATACGTGCTCCTGTTTGTCCGTATGCATATGTAGTATCTGTCGAGCAGGAACTTACTTCCTCTGCATGACCTGGGGAGAATGTGATGTGGAAGTCACGCGAATGCGTTCTGTTGGACACTTCCCGGAAGCATTTTTTCCTCTACTCACTCATTCGAAGAGATGGAGGATGATCGTTTCAGTCTGGCTCCCATCCTCTTCACGGCACCCGGTTTTTGCCCTCGAGAGGCGACGCTCACTCACTTCTCTGTTCCAGAACCCGCCAATTCCCGTACCACGGCACGGCAGAAGCTCACTCGTCTCACCCGCCAGCAGTTCCAAGAGCTCTCTACAGACGTGTACGATGAGCTGATACGGCGAAAGAACAACAGTAGCGATAACGAAGGTACGTTCGCGCTGCTGTCTTCTGTCCGCATCGTATATAGCTAGAACGCTCGTATCCCTAGTGCCCTTCCTGCCCGTCCGTGACGACTTTCACCCGAAGCGGAATCAAGCACGACAGAAACTCGCAACACTACCTACTGGCCGGTTTAAGGACTTGTCGAGTGATGTCTACTATGAATTAGCCCGACGGTATCCAGAATTCAAGGAGGAGGTACGTTTCGTCCGTTCGTTGGATACATCCCGTCCGCTCACCCCGCTGCACCAGACTCCGGACGCCCCCACGTCGGCCGTTTCTGCCGGATCCGCGTACGACGACTTCCCCTCACCCGATTTCCCTCGCAACGGACGTACGTCCGAAGACAGAGGAAACGATTCCGGATACGGTGGTAGCACGCCCGGCGCATCCACCGGCGACACCTACTCCCGCCGAAAGCCCTCGCAGGACATTTACTCTGGCTCGGATCGCCGGCGACCGTCGCAGGACACCACGCTCGGCCGGCGCCCAAGCGAGAGCGCGAGCGTCACGAGCGGGGGCGATGCCCAGAGCGCGACGGCGGGCATGGGGATGATCATCCCCAACAAGTCGACGATCGCGGAGGAGGAGATCGAGGTGCCGTACGGGCGCGACTCCAATATGACCGCGCGCAATCGCAACGGAGGCGGCCTGAGCGACTCGGAGAGAGATCTCGAGGACGACGTGAGCCCGCGAAGTCCGCCCGAACGGGCGCTGGGTGGATTGAGTGGGTTGAGCGCACGGCTGCAGCAGGCGGACGACGGCGAGGATTATTACGACCGGGCGTCGTATGGGCGGCAAAGCGTTGCTTCGGACCGGTCCGCAGGTGGTGGTTCGAAGGCGTTGGGGGGAAGGACCAGTGTCGCCGGCGAGGATGAGAGGATGAGACGCGAGTACGAGTTCAAGATCGCGACGATGCAGAAACGGATTGCGGGCCTCGAGCGGGATCTCGAGGACGTGCAGGATAGGGAGCAGAAGTGGGCGGATGGCGAGGACCGGGTGAGGGCGATGGAGCAGGAGCTGAATGAACTTCGCCGGGTGAGCCTTCGACGAGCCTCATTGAACGCTGCTGGATCGACTGAAGTGGTTTATGATAGCGGGTGGAAGAGAAGGGTTCCTCGATGCTGTCGCTACAGCAAGAACTGGATGCGCTGAGGGAAGAGCGTGCACGCGAAAGGGATATCGCGGAGCGGAGGCAACGACAAGACCAGGATGAGATCCAGATGCTACGTGACCGATGCGAGGTTCTCGAGTCCGGTGATGGGGCCGCTGGGAGTGTAGGTGTTCTTCGGTGTTATGTGTCTGCCCTGCTGCTCATGCGAGCGATTCCAGGTTGATGCCGCCATTCTGGATCAGCTCAGGTCGGACATGGAGGGTCTGATGGCGGAGCTCTCTGACTTGTCCCGACGTAACGATGAATTGCAATCTGAGAAAGACAACGACCTCGCTTTCATCCGCGAACTCGAAGGTCAAGTCAAGGAGTATAAACGGAAGTACGAGCAAGCAAAGACAGAGCTTCGGAGTGCGAAGGGTAAGTGCTTCCATGTATGGTGTGGCAAAAATTTCTTTTGACGTCGGTATACCAGCAACATCACAGTTGTTCCTGAAGCCGCCGAAGGTCGACGACCAACTGCCTGTCGCACGAGATGGAGGTCTCGTTGACGTTCATGTCACCGGATTTGTATCGTCTATCGATAGCCTCCTCACTGCTGGCCGATCGAACGCGCCCACTCAAGTCCTGCAACCTATGAAGGGCGTTATTAACGCGGTCACTGCCATCATCGAAGACGTTCGCGTCTTTGAACGGCGCCCACCACGAGACCGCGCTGAAGTCGATCTTGACGCGCTCCAGTCTTTACGAGACCGTCTCGATGCAACGCTTAGCAACCTCGTCGCTGCCGCGAAGACGCATGCTACCAGCGCCGGGATGTCCCCTGTCAGTCTGCTTGATGCAGCTGCAAGCCATGTCTCTGCTACAGTCACGGAAATCGGCAAGACGGTTCACATCCGGAAGGCGACAAAGGCAGAACAGGATGCCTTCATGCCCAGCAGTTCGTCGTCTGCCACTAACGGGTATGCACCGTCTCTGCGCTCCGTCGAGGAACTCCGTTCGACTTCGAGTCCATCGCACCAGCGGAGCGGCAGCAGCACCAGCTTGCGTGGAGGTGACGATCGTTACAACGTGTCTCCGTCGTCGTCGCCTCGCGTCACTCCACGTCGGCCACCCTCTAACATGTCTAGCTCGAACGCGAGCTCGCCGCCGCCCTTGTTCGATAAGCCTAAAGTCAATGGCAATAGCAAGAACGACAGCTCCGCATCTGGAGAGGGCCCTGAAGACGCATGGGCAGAACTCAAGGTATGCGGTTGTCCTGTAGTCAAAAAGCGTTAACTGAACTTGCGATCAGCCATACCTCGAGGCTCAGACCGAGTCTATCGTATATGCAATTCAGAGCGTCCTCTCCGGTGTCCGAAGTCCCACGCCCTCTCCGACCCTCAACGAAAACCTCACTCAAATCATCACTATCGTGTCCAGCATCGTCGCAGTATGCAAGGATAACCTTCCTCCCGCTTCCAAGGCGCAAGGCGAGGAGATCCTGCGTGAGCTTGGGGAGCACGCGAACAAGCTGAGCGAAGTTCAGGCCCAGGCGGATATCACCAAGGAGTCACGGCAGGTGATGGCGAAGTCGAGCTTCGCTGTTGCGAACGCCATGAAGGGGCTGATGAAGCTCTAGTGTACGATTTGTAGTCAGATGTAATACCCCACACCGGCGCGGCGCCGGTACAGTAGCTACCCTGATATCTCATTCACGGTTCCAGTTCTTATTATTGCATCTACCATGACTTACTTCGCGTATCAGATCATTGCTATCAATGTGGTAGACAAGTGGAACAATGGTCGTCGGACGGCTCTGTGGCCTCATCGATGATTTGCCTCGACTCTTGAGGCGTGCGATCATACTCAAGTATTAAGTCATCTACGGTATGCTAATCTACGGTATTCTAAGCTCTAACCCTCAAACGCACTGGCAGGGACGTCAATTCCGAAATTCGACTTCGCAAAGCTACGCATCGAGGCCTCAAGTTCGTCCTCGAAGCTCTGGCCTTTGCGTCCAAATAGATGCCAGGCCCACTGGCGGATCTTCGTGGCCCAGAAGATAATGTCCGAGGTGAAAAGGACCGACATGAAGATGAAGTGATTGAAGAACTCCCGAATGCGACGTCCCGTGGCCAGCTTGTGAGACGTCACCAGGAAGCGTGACGCCCAATAACCAGTGATACGAACGCGGTTTACTGGCGAACCGAATGACTGGTTGTTGCCTGGTAAGAGCATGTGAGCTTGCCGCTCGCGAAGGCGGGGAAGTATCCCATCGCTACGCACCTTGCACGATACTGAACAATTCCAGGAGCGGCAGGTCAGAATCGCATATAACGCGGCAGCCGGGAGAAGGTACATACCGCATGTTGCGTCCAATGAAAAGCAGCTCCTTAGGCAGCCTATCCGTGTCCGTCAGAAAGCCCTTTAGCCGTTCCTTCATGAGAACGCCTCGCTCGTAGTTGTCCATCTTGTCGAAGTCGGGCGCGTCGCTCTGCTGGAACCGCACGGGTCGCATCAAGGTCGCGCTGGCGAACAGATCTGGCGTTCCGATGCCCCACTCCGATGCTACGCCCTTGACGACGTCGAAGTCGAGCGTCAGCAGGCCCTTCCACAGCTGAGCATACTGCTGCTGGAACGCATCTGATACGCGCACGTACAGGCCGTGATCGAGGAGAACAAACTGCGCCTGGCCCTTCTTCGCTTTTGTGGGGTCAGGGTGCGGCCGGATGATGATGTTGCCCGGGTGGGGGTCGCAGTGCACCCAGCCCCAGTCAAAGATCTGCGCGGAGAAGAGGTCGACCATCGTACGCATGACCCACTCCGACCCACCCTTGAGGACGGGGAAGCGGTCTGCTGCAAGAGGAGGGCGCGAGGATTCCCGCGCGTCGCTCCCCATGAGACGTTCGATTCCACGCCGGTCAGAGAGCCGGACACCATCGATCCACTCCGCCGTCATGACCTTCTTCGTAGAGTACTCGGGGTAGACCTTGGGGACGTAGACGCGGTCTGCCAGGCGGGGCTCACGCGCGATGTAGGAAGTCGTTTCCGTCGCGTTCCGGACCTCCGCTTCGAAGTCGAGTTCGCGGCGGAGGTGGTCGTTGATGAAATCTAGGGGAATGGTTAATGAGGACTTGGATGAGCCAGAAACTGAAGATGCGACGCTTACTGACGGCAAACATGGCAGGGATGTTGAACAGCCAGTGCTCGTACATCCACATAACTACGGTGAATGCCCCGAGATCCCATTCCACCTGCTTGCTCACGTCAGGCTTCTGGATCTTCACCGCGACCCACTCGTCGGACCGATCGTCGGCCTTGAGCTTTGCGCGATGGACCTGCGCGATGCTCGCGCTCGCCGCGGCCTGCTCTTCGAAGACTTCGAATACGCCATTCGGCCCTGCTGGAGGACGGCCGAACTCGGCTACGAAGACCTTCTCGACGACAGAGTAAGGAACCTGGGGCGCGTCGTCGAACAAGCGGGCAAACTTCTCTTGCATGGGCCGGGGGAGAAGCGCGGCATTGTTCGCGAATGCCTGCCCTGAGCACAGAAGGCAGAGGTTCAGTATCAGAGGTAGACATACAGGAAGTAACCATACCGATTTTGATGTATAAACCGGCATTAGTGGTGAGGAGATCGTAAACACGCTGGGCAACGCGTTCCTGGAGAGCGGGTATATCTCCTTCCTTCTCGTGCTTGAAATTGAGCTTGTAATCAAGCGCTATGACGGCGCACTAAACATGGTCCAAGATGTATTAGACAGTCAGTTGAGAGCGTACGGAACGTTGAACACGGATGGTCGCGCCGTTCAAGACCAACTCGTCATACGTTAGTACAGGTCCGATATAGGCAACCGTTGTACTCGGCGATGAGAGCCAAGAAGTCTTCACTACGGCAATGAACTGGGTACACAGATGCAAGTATCACGCAACCTGGGATGATGGCCATTTCTTCTTCCGCCAGAACGTGACATTGATACTCACTGTCCAAAGGGTTCGTAGGTTCCGTATGATTGCGGATGCATGCAACTCCTTGTCCACCTCGTACGCGATTCCCAACCCCAGCGCGGCAATGGCGGTCCTGAGGGCGTACCGCTGCAATAGAGACCTTGGCTGCCCACCCGACGGAGAGGAGGCCCCATAGCCCGATGCACCTTGAGATATGTAGCGAGCATGGAGCGACGTTTTCGGACGTGATCTTGAGAGAATTCCGGGGCACGCAGACCTAGGGAGGATATGGCATGCTGGAGGTTGGAGTCGTGCGAGCATTGAAACGTTTGCAGGAAGACCCGGAGAAAGACAGGTCCCAGAGAGGGTATGAAAGAGATTTGCTGGGTTGCGAGGCGTAAAGATATAGAAGCTCAGGTCATACTTGTCAAGCCTCGGAGGTCGTCGCAGAGGGCAGGAGTGCCGAGCAAACGATGGCCCAGTGCAAGCCGAGGACGATGACGCGCTTGCCCGGCACAAGCCATAAGCCTGCGCTCACCCCTCAGCGTTCTCCCTCGCTCTCTCCGACGGCGACCATACACCTCCCCCGCGCAAACATTGCTCGAGCTGCAAGATGGACCCGCCAAGCACTCCATCAAAGCCCAAGCGCACCCAGTGCGTTCGCCTGCAGTCACGCTACTTCTCTACCCCCAAGCGGAAGGACACTACGTCGCATCCTCCCTCGCAACTTGTGCTCTCGCCCTCCACCCCTCGAACAACGTCTTGTTTCTTTGAGCCAAAGCTTGATATCGACGGCTTGCTCAGTGATCCATCTTTTACTGCCTTTTACGAGCAGTTTGTTTCCTCCATGCTCGATTTATTCTATGCGAAACCTCTGTTGATCCAAGGTACGTCTATTTCTCCTTCCGCTTACCTAGCGCCGCCGTCGCTGTGTGTTCATGAGCGTAGAGTATGTGTTGCACAGCCCTTGGAAAGTGCTCGTAGCCGTCACGCTATTGAACAAAACTGCCGGACAGAAAGCCATCCCAGTCTTCTTCGAGGTCATGGAGCACTGGCCTACTCCTGCCGCGCTTGCAGAGGGTTAGTGCCCAGCTCATGTCATGTCCTATCGTTTTGAATCTACTACAGCCCTGCGTCTCCGCAATAGCCCCGCTTTCGTTGCTGTTTGAGTTGCTCAAGGACCTAGGCTTAGGAGACATGCGTTCTCAGCGACTGGTCGACATCTCCCAGGCGTTCCTCTCCGATCCACCTCAGGCGGGAATCCTGCGCCCCTCTCCAGGAAGGACCACTGCTCTCTTACTCTCCGACGATTCAATTGTAGTGAAAGACGTCAAGTACCCTCCGACTCCCATCTCCCACATACCCGGCTGCGGACCGTATGCCTTGGACTCCTACCGCATATTCTGCACGGGAGGCGACGAGTGGAGAAGCGTTCGCCCTACAGACAAGGAACTTGTCAAGTACCTCGTAAGCGTTCTATCACCACGACAGTTTCAGTTAGTTCTGTCAAGCTGAACGCATTTTGTTCGCTAGCAATGGCGCTGGGCCGTAGAAGCATATCGTAAATGGGACCAGACGTCTGGGCCGGGCGATTCAATCGACTTGGACTACATCCGAAATCTCACCGCCTCGCTGACGAAACACCCGATCGCTCATTAAGCAGCACTGTCGGGCTGCGTAGGGCGCTCCCAGCACGTCGGACAGTTCTGGTCCCAGTATCGCTATATCGTCTACAGTTACCTGTCACTCCTGGACCAGGTACGAGGGCAGGTCAAATTTCAAGGTGAGCGTCGAGTGCTGTTGACTGCGTAGTCACGGCGAAACTGCTTCCGCCCCCTGTACTGACTGCTTATGACCTAGCAGAGTGCTCGCTCGGCATCCCAATTGACCCCCACGTTAAGCACCTTGCGCTGCTTCGACAGCGACACGTCTATAGCGGGGTGCTGGACGACGTAGCCGACCCAAGGATGGCGATGGTTCGGTATACGCAGCCGGTTTGCGTCGGTATAACTGCGCCTTATGAACGTCAGGGATAAGCAAGGGGGGGAGCACATCAAGCGCCGCGGGCGAGCATCACTCGCCGTCTGTTGCCAAATTATACTCGCAGGACGTCATTGAGAAACCATCGATGGCGTACACTGTGTACGATCGACGATCTTCGTTGAGGTCGTTCTCCTTCTAGTCCAGCCCTGCAGAAAATCCCCGTTAAGCATGACTCACTTTCGAGACCTGGGGCGGAGGGGAACCTCGTTGTGAGCTTTCATGACCCATCTTTCAGCTCTCAAGCTGAACTGAAGCTCGAAGTTCTGTATCCCGACCATATGGTATCTCTTATAATTGTCCGAAACTGACGTACCATATCTATGAGCTCTTGACTTGGTGCCCTTGTATATTCACGAGTTTGTTAAGTGATAGCCCGCCCCGTCGCGGACAGCCGTGGGCACTGGGGCTGGGACGAAGTTGCAGTGATCCGTCATCCCCACGGCGAAGTCGCACAGATCTCTCTGCTCAATTGTATGTCCCAACGCAGCTATGTTGATATATTACTTTACTTGGCTCTCAAGATCTCATCAGTCCTGATAGCTATCTAGGGACGGGGGGACTCCTACCGTAATCTGCGGCTATGACGATGGTAAGACAGATTCCACGACGAACCATTTCCTATATACTATAAGCAGTGGCAATCAAGCACAGGACTGCTCCGGTTCTGCCTAGTGGATATCGTTAAAAGAAGCACTTTCTATGCACGTTGACTGTGTCTTGTGGACATCACATCTCGAATTGGGTGCGTATGGATGAGGCGGCTGGGGAAAGAGAGTCGCAACCATGATGGGCGACGTCCGACGACGATAAAATCAGTATCATCTCAGAACTGGAAAGCATTTCGAATGTGATATCTTAGAGTGGGCCATACAAATGCGACTGATTGATCAAACATATTGAAGTATCATAGGGTATTAGCTAAAGGCTGGTGACGATTACAGACTCGAAAGGGAGCATTGACCGTGCGATTGTATGTCACAAGTATTTCGGTGTCTTGACACCAGTACGACGGAGCCTTCTTCGAGTGGAGATAGGCTGACCAGTCACCTTATCAAAGCGGGACTTCTTGACGTCTGACCGCCCGGAATGAAGACTACCGAGACCTTCGAACTTCCCCGGAGCCACCCCTTCGACGTCGTTAGCGTAGGCGTAATACTCCCAGTCGGAGACCTCGTAGAAGTATATGGACCCATCTTTGAGGAAGTCCAGCAGTCGCAGTAACTCGCCCTTGTGAAGCTTGCTGGGATTGCAAAAGCGAACATTAACGGGCCACGGTAGGCGGAGTCTTCTGTTTCGGAATATGTACTGATAAAACAGACTGGGAGTATACCACATGGCGGCGTGAGGATCTCCGGTCGCGTCGACTGGGACATTCCTCTGACGTTAGTGGATCGAAATGGATGGCCAAGAGTATTCACGTACTAATCAAGTTCTTGAGCCGTATCCGCACTTCTGCACGAAGCTTCTGCGTCTCGCCGCCGGCATATATTCCCCGGGGATCGTCCGGTATGCCAAGCTTTCTTCGCCCGCGACGTGGGGTATGATGAGGAGCGTAGCGAACCATGGTCAACTGATGGTTAAATTAGTCAAAGCGCAACAACAAAGAGCAAGAAGAACGCTGGCGTACATAGTCGAGGGTTACAGCCCCACGTTACGGAAATTTGTAGTGAACAGAAGAAGGACCTAATGACGATGGGCGGCACCTCCGTTCTGTCCTCGGAGTCGGTGTCTTTTATAGGCTGCTGAGATATCTGTCGGCCCCTTTATTCACCGTTGTCTCGGACGTGTCAAAGTTATGAATATACTCCCATTTCAATCCGTCACATCTGTTGTAGGGCATGCCTCTGAATATCGCCCTCGCTTGATGCTCAGCGTCTGCTAAGGCCCGTCGTACCCTTCGACCTGAGACATACCGAGCCGATTGTGAGATATGCTCCGAAAGAAGACACCCTCCTTGCAACATAACGTAAGTGGCTTCCTGGAGTCATCACTGTCCCCGTTGACGTACTTCAGGGTTTCAATGGACGTCGAATGGTCTGCAGAAGATAGACTTAGGCGAGCGCTTCTCTGCATGTGAGCCGATGTAAGAAACAAGCTTGAAGCGAAACGTCTCGCTCATACGCGGTGTGACGATTGTAAGAAATTTGAACGGATCGTAGACGAGGTTCCCCAAGATACAGAGTTGGAGTGACGTGGAATTTTATGCCATTTGAACATTCTTTCCAAGACGCCAGCCTGAAACATGGAGAATTGCGTAAGGTCTGATTCGATGAGCCCTCCAGATTGACCAAGCCTCAGAGATGAGGTGATCAGGACAAGTCCGAGCGCTCGAAAAAGGGTGCATTCCAAGCCAGTGTGTCGTGTACCGCCGTTGGGAGTCCATTCTTCGGCAGTCTCTTCGTAGCCTGTCATGCTTCGAGCTAAGGCATTTAGGACTGGTAGTCACACCGATTGGTCAGGGGAGAGAACTGCACAGCAAGCGCCTCAGAGGCCCGGGTCTAGGGATCCCATAGATTGTTGTTTAAGGCCGTATCAGTTTCCTAGTAGTGCTTGTATCAGCTTCAATGATCACTTGACGGTAGCGCAGCTGGTGGACCAACCGAGTGTTTTTCCGTGGATGTAATCAGCTAACGTACCTGAAAGTCATCGCTAAGTTGAGGAGAAATGCATGACCAGCACACATCACAAATGGCAGACTCATAGTCCTTGTAGAGCCTGCACTAGAACGCGGCGCGACCTTAGATTCACCAAGGGTACAGGATATGGCTAGACCACATATTGCCTTCCAGATAATCTGCAGACTGGCATGCAGCGATTCTCAAGCAGGACGTGATGGGAGGAGGCAGCCAATTTCGCAACTTAAACCATGGCGTAGGGGTAGTTAAAGGCGGGGCCGGAACTAGCCGACACGAGCGTCTCTCAAATATCAGCCGTCACGAAGTACATTCATTGCATTTCCGTCGGCCTGTATTGTTCTGTTTGTGCGCGTTCTCTTCACCGACATTTCGCCTCGCAGCTCAAGCTTCAGCATGGCGGTTGGAACGTGTTCGAGCAGAGCACACCGTACGCTACTGCCATCAGGGAATTAGGATGGAATGCGAAAGCTCCGTACAGTACATGTCCGTATAATGATAATAAAGCATGCAGATATTTACAGTATCCAGTCTCCTTCAGTAACCAGACGGTCGCGCACCCGTCTTTGATGTATCGTAAGCTCGTATCAATCGCGCCTGGTCTTGCCTCGACGCATTTTCGGTCTGGCTGAAGGCAAAACCGCGATTACGCCGCATGCGCTGAACAGCGCGAACTTTCTTGATCGCCTTCTGGAATCTGGGAAACAAGCGTGGCTTCAACTACAGCACTCACAGATGGAGTAAAATTCCACGTACTGCTCTTGCCTCGGTCTATAGTCAGGGATGTTGTATTTCTGGATCTCTTGGGCAATGTGGTAGGTCTCTGGTTGGTACGTCCTCCGATAGCTGCATTGGCGTGTCAATGCCAGCCGTGAACATTGACGAGAATAAGACGACTCACTACTTCCAGACAAAGTCTCGCGTCAAGCAAATGATAGGAACCAAGAGAAGGACAAAGTAGAAAACGGCATCGGTCCACAGACGGGGGACGATACCGCTGTACTGAGTCGAGAACCCAATGGCAGGAGCGACCACGGCGTACAACGGCAAGAACAACATAGTGAAGATGAATGATCCAGGGATGGCTATAGCAGACCGATAAGTGATCGCACAAACAAACCAATCGAGAACACATGGACATACCAGCTACAGTGTACTTCGTCCACAGACTGGAGTTGTTCGCATTAGCATAGCGGTGGAGAGCACAAATGAAGAGGACTTACTCGGATATCAGTGCGGCCTTTCCTAGGACAGTGAGGAGCACTGCAAGGTACAAAGTCGTCCCCCAGAACCAATGACCTGAATCGAAGCCGGTGGCTTGCTTGAGGTCACCCCAGAAGAGTATAACTGAGAATCCAAAGAGCACCTGTACGTAGCCGTCAATACTCGAAGTGACTATCAAGTTTTCGCGACTGACGATGCTGTGATACAACGCGTTACCGACCCAAAGCCAGAATTGAGTCCGCGTGAAGAACGCATTGCGTTGTCCGAGCATGTACAGCTGAGGATACCGGTCGAGGATACGCGCTGACACGAATTGATCGAAGATGCCAATCACCAATGGGGGTAAGACAGTGAAAACGACGTTGTACAAAGAGAGGGTCCAGGACTCATAGGCGATCTGGCCCGAGAAATTGTTGAAGAACGAGAACTAGGAGCGGACTGAGCCAACAGCAACAAAGACGGCAGGATACAACTTACCCAGAATTGTGTCATGTACAACACAATGTTCTTGTAGAAGGAATCTATGTGACGAAATTGGTGAGACGACACAGTCGACTTCTTGCTAAATTCCAACTTACACAGCACCATCTTCGATAGCCGAGTGTAACTCCAGGCACCGTGGACGAGGAGCAGCTTCTTGAGATACCGGAACTGCGAGATAGCGACATCCGCGGCTCGAGCTGCTTGAAGACCCTACAAGAGTGGTAAGCGTGGCATCACACTCTATGTTGCGTCTCCTCACCTCTACGCCCGAAATGCCGACGCCGACATGAGCCGCCTGGATCATGCTCACGTCGTTCGCACCATCGCCAATCGCGAGTAGGATGGACTTCTGGTTCTTCTTGACTAGTTTCACGACTAACGCCTTTTGCAGCGGAGATACGCGACCTGAAAGGAGAGTGAGTGATGCTATCGTTCACGGAACAGAGCGGCACATACAGCAGATGACCGCCTTGCATAGGATGGCAAGCTCCAGGAATGTCTTCGAAATCTCTTTCTCGAGGGCGAACGTAAGACTTTTTCCGTCTTAAGGTACATGAATCAGTTTCGTGTCCAAGGTCAATGATGGACGGCGCGAACCGATGATGAGGGCTAAATCTTCCTGATCACCAGAACTACGTTGGCTCTTGATCGCCGACAAACGCTTCGTGATGAATTCCTGCGTCTCGTGGGCTGTCTCTTCGTTGACGATAACCTGTATGATGTATGTCAGTAAGATGTAACGTCCTGCCTCAACTCGCGTGCGAACCAGGTTCATGGACTCCGAGATGAGTCTGCAGGACATGCCGATGTTGATGGCGGTCTCCTGCCTATCGCCAGTGAGTACCCAGACCTTGCTGAACGTCAGTACTGCAGTGATTGACCCTCTCCCCTTCAGTGACATACCTTAATACCAGCCATCTGAAGAGTATGGATTGTGTCAGGAACGCCCTCTTGCAGCTTGTCCTCGATAGCTGTCGCGCCAAGCAAGAACATATCCCTTTCGATGAGTTCCGCGGCTTTGTCTAAAGCCTCCCCGCGGCCATTGATCGTTGCGGCAGCCTGGTCGTAGACCGTCACCCATTGGCGGTATTCTGTATCGGGAATATCACGGAAAGCGATACAAAGCGTACGGAAACCGTCCGTGGCGTAATCCTGCGAGTTGTTGGCGGTTATTCGTCGTACGAAAAAAGCAGCAACACTTACCTCCAGATGTAGAAGTGTCTTCTCCGTGTAAGGCTGATTCTCGCTCAAACGCTCCAAGATAACAGTGTCCGCGCCTTTGCAGAAGAGCTTTATGCGGCCGTCCGGGCATCGGACGACGGTGGACATGCGTTTTCGGGTGGAGTTGAACTCGCATACGTTTAGGATCTCGTACTCCAATGACTGCCCGTGCACGTTGACGAATACCGATTTGGGTTTGCGAGTCTATATGCAACCGTTCAGAAGACTTTTGGACTATGAAAGCAGACATATGACATACGTGGAACTGATATCCAAGAAGTTCTGCGCCAGCTACGAGAGCAGCCTCGTCGGGACTGCTAGCTTGATAGTGGATCTTGTCATCGCGCAATTCCGGGATAACCGTATGGCAGACGGCGAGCAACGTGAGGAACTCGTTGGCAACCTGACGATCGGTGCTAGCCCCTGCATCCGTAAAATCGACGAAAGGGTTTTGTTCCCCGGAGACGAGAGCGCGCAGGTCGGCGAAGGATCGCCATGCTTCCTTGTCGTCCTCGCCATCCCCGCGTCGACTCTCGTCAACAACGTCCGCATACGCAATTCCTCCGATCGAGCAGAAGCGAAACTCCATCTCGTTGCGAGTTAGCGTTCCGGTCTTGTCACTGAAGACATACTCGATTTGACCAAGCTCCTCGACGAGCGAGGATGTGCGGCATAGCGCGGGTGTGTCCGTTTTCGCATAGTACATGTCAAGGTCGGAGTTGATGAGCTGGGCTTGCTGAAACTTGACGACCTCCATTGTGACGATGAGCGAAATCGGGATCAGGTTGTTGTACAAGATGATAAAAGTCAGGATATCTGGCCGAGAATCAACAAACCGGAAAGAGAATCCGAGTGCTAGAACGGACCTTCAATGAAGCCCTTCGCTGTACGGAGCTCAGCGACTGGTGACCTCGCACAAAGCGGTCAACGCACCTCTTCCGGAGACAGTCGATTGCTCGAGCAGGTACCATTGCGCGGTAGAGAAAAACCACTGCAGCGATGTCAGGCACGGGTTTTGCAGCAGAGCGAAGGCACCCACTGTTCGAATGCTACTGCCAATTGTCGAGCCGATAGACAGGACAAGCAAGAACATGAATAGGAAGACGATGTGTACGTTCACCTGACGCTCGACAGCCGTTTGTTTGATCGGCGCAGCACTAGGTCGTCGGTTTGAGACTCTTGTGCCCATTCCGTGCAGAATAGGAATGGCACTCACGTTGCGTTCCGCATCAGCTTTGTTTCGTGGCCTGTGAAAACAACAAGACCATACGCCCAAGGCGTATTCCTGATTTGAGCACCACGAAGCAAGAGCTGGTCGGGACCCAACGGGACCTGCTTCGGGTTACCGCCACTGGACACCAGCTCCAGAGTGGCCTCATAGGTATACAGGGAGTTGTTCGGGTGCTCAGACCGCAACGTGCCGTGAAGGGAGGTGACGAGATGAGGGGAAGTCAAATTGGACGTTTGTGGTGAAGCCTGCTTGATCTTGAGGTTCGTCTCACTATACGACATGAGCGGCGAATGGGCGGACGGATCAGAACGACACGCACCCGTCAAGGTTTGACGTCTCGATATAACAGAAGCCCTCTGGCTCACTGGAGCTGAGCAGGACGACGTCGGCTGGAATGAAGTCGTCGCTCTCTAAGCGGATCACGTCTCCGACCATGATGTCCTTCCATTTCCTGTCCAAGAATGTGCCGTCCGGTTGAAGAATCTTGGCCAGACGAGAGTTGAGTTCCCCATCAGACTGGTGTCGTTTCTGCAGCGTTTGTTAGCATCGGCTGCCAACGCACAGCACTGAGCGCATCATTGGGAGACTGTTACAATCCTACGAGGGCGAACGCTCATGTGATGGGCAAATGCAACAGATGGAGTCGCCGGTAGCCTCTGAGCACCCCTACGAGACTGCCATGAGCCCTGTCGCCGCTATTCCCGCAGATGAAGCAAAACTATGATACAACCGCGCTCGCTGGGGCGCCACGCCAGACGGATAGGAATAAGCGACAAAGGCTGTCAATCCGCTGATGTAGGCTGTCCTCCGCCGCTACTCCGGCAACATATGTGCAGGGATGGAGAAACATGCAGAATAAGAGACTCACCAAGTCCTCCTGGGTCTCCTTGAACGCGGACGCTAGTAATACAACAGCAAGGGGGGCAATGGTGGTATATCTGTTGGTGGGCGACACGTCGGGTATTTGCTGGATGAGAGCGGTGAACAGGAAGAACAAGTTCGCGTATTTCGAGAATTGCTCTAAACCTCTGGTGTCAGTATCGCCGTGCCGGGAGAACGGAGCCCACGTACCGAGGAGGAATTTGGGGACGAAGGTCGCGATGTTGTACTTGCTCGTAGAGACGTAGTTGTTGCAGTACTCCGCATTAGCATCCGGATTGTTCAGCGCGATCACCCTGTTCCCCGTCAAGACCTGCTCCTTCTTCTGCCGAGGCCAATTGAACTTCCACTTCTTCTTGATCGACTTGGAGGGCTTGCGCGCATGACCTCTCGATGGTCCGGGGAAGGAAGCCGATCCTGTAAACGTCTTGGGGCCATGGTCGTCGTCGTCGTCGAAAGACCACTGGTCTGGCGGGATGGATGTGGGAAGGCTGAGCTGAGAATTGCCTACGCCAGCGGGCGGAGCACCAGAGCCAGCGAAAGGAAGTCCGCTCTCCTTGGACTGCATAGCAGGAGGCCGGCCAAAGGCGGAGTCGGGAACGTCGTCGTCGTCATCGAAGAAGGGGTCCAAGGCCTGCGGAGGGGAAGAAGACGGGGGATAGCCCGTGTTGGCTGGCTGGTACTGTTGCCTGGAGGCGGGATTGGCTTGGGAGACCAGCCGGACGAAGTCGTCACTCATCGTATCCAGCGATGAGCTCGAGAAGTCAAGCGGCGAGGTCGAGGTCGAGAGTAGCGTTCACGGCGCTCAGCCGCGCAGAGCCGCGCGCAGGCCGGTGCATGGCTGCGCGTAGTCAGGTTAGGGTTGGGAACGATAGACGCTGCCCTTAGCGAGCGCAACGCGCAGATGCTACTCTTACACGCGTTCAGTACATACTTGAGGCCTTGCATTCGAACGGCCACAACATCACTGGGTCGAAACGGACTGCTAAACACTGTCTGGTCAAGTGTCTGCTCATTCTGTCGGTCGTCACCAGATACTGCATCTTGCGGCTTGGGTTCACGAGATAGTACCAACTTGTTGGCATGTGCGTGGCGAACCCTTGCTAGCTGGTCCACGGACTGGCGGCGAAGACCCCGCTGAGTGTCGACGATCTCCGCCTCTCGTAGGCGATCCTTTCGCCGGCATCTGAACCAAACAAACGACCCACACTAATGTACCCTTCCAACACGGCACGGCAGAGCCTCGTTATCCTCATCGGAATGTGGTAGTTGCGCATTTTTACGCCTCGGCGGACGAGGGCCGAAGGTACAATCAATCAGCCACCCATCGTGAGTCTTCCGAGATTTTCTCAGGTCAGTGCCCGGCTAGGAGACAGACGACTTTATCGTTGCTTCCGACGCAAACGAAGCCAAGGGTGAATGAGCAGCGGTGGACCGAGGCGACGATAGGAACGACAAGGTCGTCGTACGTCCTCCACTGTGCTCTAGCCCACGTCGGACGCCAAGGCGGCAGATGCGCGAGGGAGGAGGGAATGGAGACTTGGGCTACGTCCAGGCCACACGGAATCACGATGCGGCTCTAGGCTTGGGGAATTCCTCAGATGGTCGGCACTGAGTGCCATCGCCCGTAGCTCAAGGCTGTTCGCGGTTCTGTCTGAACGAGGGTATAATCCAGGGTAAACTCGATCTCGGGGGCTGTTTCCATGTCGCTCTGGACCTGCACGACATCCGGGTCCTTGAATAGGGGGGAGAACTTGCCAGTATTCTAGCGACTCCAACCGACTTGCTAGGTGCGGTTCTCATCGGATCCAGAGAGCTCTGGAAGGAGTCGAGGGGAGGCACCAGACTTCAACAAGACGTTATTTGAGCGAGAAGATCGTGGGTCGTCTTGTATGGAATTGTGTCCCCGCATCGGAGAGGTTGGCCGTTTACACGTCGCACGATTTGTGCGCTGGAAGGGATGAGAGGTGCGATAGGAGGTGTGCCCGGGCCAATGCACGAGGCGTTGAGGACCCTTCCCCTGAGGTGATAAGACTAGCTGTTCAAGCCTATCGTTGACGGATGTCCGACCGGTACCATCGTCGCTCTCGTCGGCATACCTTGGCCGGTCGAAGGCCCGTACTCCAGTGCTCACCACTCAAGCTCAGGTGCCGCGCAGCATGCATGGAGGTCATGAACTCCTCACGTAGGGCGCCGTCGGAACTGAGAACGTCGCATGTCTCTCCAAGCTTTCGAATTCGAACGTCCGACCCAGCGTCGATCCTTGTCTCTCGTACCGTCGAGCATTGCTAGATGTTTGCTAAAACATACCGTCGTCTCTTATGATGTAGCTGTTGGCGTCTTCCATCGCCGTGCCTCTCGAACCAGCTGTCAACATGGCGGACAGGCTAGCAGGGTGAACCGCCGTGACGTTCACGTTTACGATGTCAACGCGTGCCTCGCCAACGACGACGACTTGGGCTACGAGATGACCAACGCCAATCCGTTGTCCCCATCCTCTTCGACATCGGCCGTCCGCGCGGTCTTCGCGAATGCGTCTCCGGCCCAGCTGACCCGTAGTCGAGATACATACTACAGTGCACTCCGTACTCGACAGGTATCGCCTTCTGGTGTTCGGCGAGGAGCGGCACACCAACACGTCCAATCTGAGCAGCGTAGCATTCGGAAGCGTGGCAGAGCCGATCTGGACTACATATGCTCGCGGCGCGTCCCCGTCGACGAATGCCAGCGACAGGTGCCCGTTCTGCGGCCGTCGACCGTCCTCTCCGCCTGCCCCGCTGCTGGGCACCCGGACGGGCTGGAGATCGGTCTGTCGGGTGTTCTCCGTCCCTGCTCGTATGTCGTGTGAGGTAGATAGATGGAGCACTCCGGTCACGAGCGCGCTGCTAAGAGGACTGCGCCCACGGCCGACGGATGTCTGGAGGGAGAGGGGATGCGCGCACCCGAATGGACAAGGTCGGTTACCGCAGCCTACCGATATGTGCACGAGTATACACGGCGTTGTTGCGTGCGGGCAGAGACGGTCGAGCGGTGGCGCTGGGCGCATACACTCGGCTGGGAGTCGGACGGGGCGGCAGCGTGAGGGAGAGACTGCGGACAGGAGGGAACTGACGGCATCGACGTGGAGATTGCACTAGGCTGCCTACACGGCGTAGCTAGGGTTGTGTATGCGGGCAGGGAAGCGCGGTAGAGGGTCTCTGCGGGGAAATACGAAAGGCTGCGTTCAGGGGCCGGAGAGCATGGGAGCGTGTGGACGACTTGCGGACATTGAGCTCGAGGCGGGCGAGTGTATGCCTGCAACGACAGACGGATGACAGGCATGAGAGAAGGGTGTGTAAGACGAGAGCGGCGACAAGTGACGGGGTCGGTAGGGAATGCGCAAACGTGTAATCCACGGAGAGCTTGTGGTGAGAAGAGCGTTGCATACATCTGAGGGAGCGCAGTCGCGATGATTGAGATCAAAAGGATCGGTGAGACATTGGGCGCGAGCTGTGCATGGCTTGACACACGAGCTGTGATGGTGCGCGTGTGCGTGTGTGCGGTGGTTAGCAGGCGTTGAGTAGCGTTGCCGGGGGCGGGTCGAGACGGTCGAGGCGGCGGTTGCGATGGGGACGGAGATGTGATTGGCTGATGGGGCGTCCCAGAGCGGGCTCGAAGGGGGCCGGACACGCCGGGGCCGCCGGGATGTTATTCTCTCTCCGCTGCCCGTCGCTGCGCTTGGACTTGTTCTCCTTCTCGTCCGCTCTGTGCTTGTCTTTGACCGCCCCGCCTTTCTCTTTCTTTGCTCTCTCTCTCTCTGCCTCTGCGTCCGGCACGCCACTCACGACCACCAGCGACGACCATCGTCTACTCACCATCTCCAACTCCCCTAATCGCTCTCATCACCGGCCCTCGTTACTACTATCCATCCCCCTCCATGTCCCTCAAGGCTGAACTCGAAACCTGGGCCGCTGCCCTCCAGGCCTACGACCAGGAAGACTTTGAAAAGAGCTTGGAGCTCTTCTCCCAGATCGCAGACTCTAGCAAGATCCTCACCAACATCGGCCTCATCTACGCCACCCTCGGCGAGCACGAGGCTGCCGTCGAGCAGTTTACTGCTGCCACCGAGCTCGACCAGTACCTTGCCGTAGCGTGAGTCTCGCTTTTCGTATCTTCCCTTCGCAACGCGCGCAGTCAGTCCCCGCCCCCGCCATTCTCCTGCAAGTCCGTGTGCGGCAGAGGGGGGACCCGTCAAGCCTAAGCTCCGGTGCTAGGTGCTCCGCTCGATTGGCATCCTCGTCCGGGTCTCCCTCGCCCGCATGCGCGACGTTGGACGTCTCCCCTCTCCTGACAGCGATCAGACAGTCTATCCGAGAGTGCCTGTGCCGTATGCGTCCTAGGCACGCGGCCCATGGCATGCGAGCTTGCGTTTAACCTTCTTTGCGTGCATTTTCCTACGTGCTTTCTCCGACTTGACAACCGCGCCCAAGTCTTATCACGCTCATGGGAAGCGCGCCTCTACCATCTGTAATACTCGCAGCATCCTGTGAACGCCCAAGGGCGACAGAGCTCGATCGCTGGGTCCTCGGGGCCACCGCGCTCACATCTCAGGGACCGTCTGCTCTCGCTATGGCTACCGATTCGGAGCGGATCGTTGATCGAGCGCACCGCCTCGACCGCTTTGCGAGATCGTCGAACTTGCGCGACTGACCTGCGGCTACAGATACTTCCAGTGCGGCGTCTCAAACTTTCTGCTCACCCGATACGACGCCGCGTACAACGACTTCTCGTCCGCCCTCCTCTACCTCCGCGGGAACCAGTTCATCAACTATGAGCAGCTCGGGCTCAAGTTCAAGCTCTACTCGGCCGAGGTCCTCTTCAACCGCGGTCTCACCCAGATCTACATGGGCAACGCCCAGGAGGGTCTGGCGGACATGGAAGACGCGCGCCGGGAGAAGGCGACGGAGGAGCACGGCGTGATCGACGACGCCATCCAGGATCGCGGCGAGGGCTACACCGTATTCTCGATCGTGAGTCCCTCGATCGAACCCGTCCACTACAGAGCCTAATTCGGACGCGGACACAGCCCGTGGGGGTGCTGTACAGGCCGGCGCAGAAGAAGCTGGAGAACTCAAAGGCGCGCGACTTCCTGGGCAAGGCGAAGCTGGTGGCGGCGGAGTCGACGAACGACCTGTTCACGGAGTTCACCGGCGTCGTGCGGCTGAAGCAGGGCGTGACGCCCACCAACGTCTTCCTGGAGGACGGCCCGACGTCGAACCTGTCGCGGGCGGCGACGGTGGCGGCGCCGTCTGTGAGCGTACCCAGTGCGTATACCTCAACACTCCTTGACATCATGTCTGATACGAATCTGGTCGCGCAGAGCCGGCAGATGGCGACGACCCGAAGCCCAACCTCCAGCGCGCGAAGACGACGATCAACGTCCCCGCGGACGCGCGTGAGCGCATCCGCGCAGCAAACGTGGGCGGCGCAGGTTCCGCGCCGGTGACACCACCCAAGACGTCCCCCACGGCCCCGGCCGGCCCCTCGCTCACGCGCAGCGCGACGTCTGCAGGCGCAGGTCGCGGCCCCAGCGCGCCACTGGGACTCAACGGCCCCACGCGCGGGCTGAGCATCCGCAAGGGCGGCTCTCCGACCGGCCCCACCGGCTCCGCGCCTCCTCGGGGCGGCGCAGGCGCGCGCATGACGGAGTTCTACGACGACTACCTGGAGGGCTACACCGGGGAGGAGGCGAACGAGGTGCCCCCGTTGCCGGAGGCGCGTGTGGCGAACTGGGCGAAGGGCGTCGGGCGCGGGGGGCGGCCGAGCGCACCGCCGAGCAGCTACGGGGGGAGCCTCTCCGGGGGCGGGTCGATGCGCCGGAAGCTGACGCGCCGCGGGACGGCGGCGAGCCGGGGGCCGGGCTCGCGCGCGGGCTCGAGCTTCTACGGGGGGTACGAGGAGGAGGAGGAGGGGTACGTGAGCGGGGAGTACGAGGACATGTTCGAGATGGTGAAGATCCGGGTGAAGCTGCACTACCGCGAGGAGGTGCGGGGGATGGCGCTGCTGCCCGAGACGCCGTTCGAGGAGTTCATGGAGATGGTGACGCGCAAGTTCGGCGTCGTGCCGGGCGCGCTCGGCATGAAGTTCAAGGACGAGGACGGCGGGAAGGTGACGTTGCGCGACGAGATGGACTACGAGCTCGCGATCGAGACCGCGCGCCATAGCGCCAAGGGCAGGCCCGAGGGCCGCCTGGAGATCTGGTGTATGGACGAGTGAGCGGGCGCACGGCCGTCCCGCCGCTATCGTGTGGGGCTGTGGTCGGGAGGGTGCGAGGTGCGCGTGTCGTCGCCGTCTGTCTTCGTCGTTCCTTCTGTGCTGTCATCCGTCGTCGTTGTCATCTTGTCTCGTCATCTCTCATGATACTCTGGATTGTCTCCTCACCCACTATTATGCGCGGTACCCTCTGTAGATGTGCTCCACTCTCCTCCTTCCTTCTCCCTCTCAACCTCATCACGGTAATTGCAATACGATACTGTACATGCTCCGTTGCGCCCGGTACCCTCTGTACACTCCTCTCTTGGTACGGTGATTGAGCGTCAAGGCCCCGATGAACTCGCCTGCTGCGGTCTGTTTAACTATATATTATCGGTAATGCGAATCAGTCGGGGTAACATATCGTGCGCATGCGAGGCGCGTCGCCTGGAAAAGATAGCCTTCAAAAGTCACTGAACTGAACTCGATGATCAATCCGTCTGAGGTCTGTATATCTAGAGTATGAACGTAGCCGCTGTGTAAATCATACCGGAATGATGGCTGCTGGGCTCTGCTAGCAAGCGAGATGTGTAGCCCAGCCCCAAGAAGTCCGCATTATCCACAGTACACGTTCGCTGGGCACCCCACACTGGTGCCCTTCGCTGCGCCCGACACCCCTGCGATCTGCAATACCGCGTTCGCGATGCCTCCCAAACCCTCCCCGGCTATCATGCCCGCCGCGACCGCATAGCAGTACATCATCGCGCCTACCGGCCAGTACTTGCGCCAGATGAGAGCGACAAGGCTGCCGAACAACATCGCCATGGGGTACGTGCACAGCGGACCGAGGATGAACGCGATGCCGACCGCGTTCCAGTTCGGGAACCAGACTCGCCTCTCGGGTCGGACGAATTGGAACTTGACGAACGTCGAGATGATTGTCAGAGCACCCAGACAGAGTGCGGTGATGCCAGACGAGCGAGGGACAGGTAAGGAGGGAGAGGAGACCGCGACTGAGACGGCTCGCCATGCTCCGACGTCCGGGGCGGGGAAGGCGCAGGTCGTCGTGCTGAGCTCGTTGATGCATGGATACGCCTTGACGAAGACGACGTACATCCCCGCAGACAGGAAGATGGACACAAGCGCGCCACAACATTGGGCATAGAGTTGGACGCGCGGGGATGCGCCGAGCAGATGCGTTGTCTTCAGGTCACCTACGTATGTGATGTGGCACGTCAGCGCGCACATAAACTCACGTCGTCCATCGCCACCCACCAAGCATGTCTGCAGCTTGCTCTGATACAGCGAGGGTGATCATACCCGTCAAGCCGTTGTTGAGCTGATTTGCGGCGGGAGCTACACCCATGCCCTTCGAGACGCCCCCGAACACGAGCTGCGCGAAGTTCCCGAAGGTTGTCACAGGGATGACGGAGATGCGCCCCGCGCACTCTGCGCCGATGAGCGAGAAGATGAACGAGATGAGGATGGCGAGGATGGTCACTCCTGCGTTCTGGCCGAATTGGTAGCGCATGATGATAATGGTGATGATGCTCCCTATGGTCAGGCCGCCAGTCCACATCCACCATGGCGTTTGTTCATCGAGCGGGGCGGGGTCTGGGAACTCGTCTACCTTGGCTCCGTCGGTGTATCCTCCTTCACGGGGTTTCCTGAGGATGAACCCCTTGACAGCTTCTGCCGTCGGTCCGAACCCTACCGAGAGGCTCCGGAGTACGGCACCTCCGTTCGCGACGATCTCTGCCAGGCTGGAGCACAGGAGGACGGCGCATCCGGGCCAGATCATCCAGTACTTCGGAGAGGGCGCATTGACCGGGTCGTCTAGCACCATGTTCGCGTAGTTGAGATACTCCGGGAACTCGCCCGTCTTGGTGGCCGGAATACCGAACGCTACGTTGGTTGCGACAAGCGCAGGACCTATGATTGCCCAAGCAAGGGCGGAGCCGCCTACGAAGGAGATTGAAGAAGTGAGCGGAACGAGCAAGCCTACGCCTATAAATGCTGGCGTCCACTCCCATATCCAGCCCTGATGAGCAGATGAGCAGACATCCCAATACGACGCGGACGACGAGAGGGAAAGTCTCACCCAATTCTCGGCCGCAATGATCCACTTCCATCCCGCGCTGTAGAACCACCAACCCCAGTGCCAGTCCCACATTATGCCGGGTGCGTACTCGCTAGTAACTCGCCATACAATCGCCAAGAGGAAAGAGGTCACGAGAGCCAAGGTCTTCTTTCGGGCATTAGCGGCGGCGTGGCGGCCGACGTGCAGCGAGCGAATCGTGTATGCCGCAGCGACAGAGTTCGGGAAGGGAAGCTTGAGCTTGAGGATATACAGTCGTCGAAGAGGCATGGTAAAGAATATCCCGACGTAGGCACAGCCGAGTGTGAACGTGATCAGACGGCTGGACGGACGGCGCTGTCGGTACAATTTGACTCGGATGATTAGGACGATAGAGCTCACCCATAGTCCGCCACAGGATTTTCACCCAGTAAGCCAAGTTGATATGCTGCCGGGAAGCCTGAGGTGAACAACAGCCCTAGAGATCCCGCCGCCTACAGATCATGAATGTTTGCTTCGATGAGATCACCATGGTGGTCTGTTCACTTACGGTGGCAGCACTCTGACAGCAGATGTTTTCCTTGGGCCCGAAATAACCGCCACCTAGACGGTCGGGGAGTGCCTTAGACATCGACTTCAAAATGGCAAATCCGAAGATGGATCCAAAGAGAGATGCTCCGAACGTCCAGCCCGTCTTGAGACCGAGGTACACGCTAGCGGAAACGGATGTTGAGCTAACAACGGGTGCTCGACGACGCAAAGGCTTACTTGCTTGCAGAGATGACTGCACCGAGGGCACATCCCACGAAGACCGCGCGGAATGTAAACTGCTGCTCTTCCGGAGCGTCAGGATCCATGGGAAACGGGTCATCTGTGCCAAAATGCTCGAGAGGATCATCTTCGTCGACGCCGTCGTCGCCTTTCTCTAAAGATGAGACGGAAAGGACCTGCTCGACTTGACTACCGAAGGACTTCTCGTCTTTGCTGGACATGGAGTCCGGGGTGGGGGCATCCCGAGGGATCCCATCAGGCCCGAGAGATTCTTCGCGGATCGACATCGCGGAACGAGGAGGGGTTCGCATAGACGTATCGGATGGCTGATGTAGGCATCCGTCCCTCTTAACCGGACTCTCAGAGATTGCGTTATCAGTATCGAAGAGATGTATTGTCGAATCTACATGCTCTGTATCAGCATTGGTGGTCAGAAGGAAAGATTCTCTTACGAGAAGACGGGCGAACGTATGGCGTACGGAGTGCCGGCAGCAGACTCGAACGCTCACATGCCTTGCCCCGATAAGTGAGTACGACATGCGATAGAGGAGTATTCATGGCGCACAGGCGAAAAGGCGGAAATAACTCTCAGGAGGATGGTTGTGCACACGCTACGGGCCGCCGCGATAGCATTAGAGCGGATACTGGATGATATGCAGTAGGTGGGGGTGACGTCAGGAAAAGGCCTTGCAGTCTTATAGGCACACCAAGAGTTGTTCCAACGGGAGCTACTCGAATGAAAGTCTGAGACGTTGAGAGGCATTGCTATTGAGCACGACGTCTACCCCGCATTAGTGTCAAGACGTGAGCTGTGAACATGTTAGAATGGGAAATTCGCTAAGGACGTGTTGCGGTTACCTAGCTGTCAAAAATACCAAACTGCAGAATGCTACAGCATTGATAGGGATCGGGAGCCCATAGAATGGGATATCGGTTCTAACTGCGCCCACTACTCTTGCTTGACATCTATTGGAGGAAGGATAGGTAGCACGCTATTGGGATCGCGGTGGGGCATATCCAACTTTTTGGATGGTCAAGTTGATCGCGTTTTTGTGTCACAGAGTGAATATTTCTCGCTCAAGGGTAAATACTAGATCCCTGAGGCTATGATTATATGAACGGCGAGACGGTCAGCTTGGATATTGAACATAACTTGCACCTTTGGAGCTGATTCCTCAGCGGCTCCGCTGCCGGCTTTGATGATTTACGTGATGCTCAGCATACACTCAATCCTATGGTATGGAGAGTGTCAGCTCTGCAAGGAAAGAATCAGGGATAACCTTACATTCTTCAACAGCACAACCCGCTCACACCGTGTACAAGAGACCGCAACAGCACGACCGGGGACAGCTCCTGAATTGCGCACAAAAGGGGCAGATCTTGCCTCTCGAGGGTATACTTGAGAATGGATGGCCGTAACTCGTTGGGCAGCTTGTGTACTACTACGGCAGTTGCGGCGCAGGGTCGCCCAGACACTATCGATTCCGAGCCGGGGTTGAGACTGTCTGGAAAAGCCAGGCAAACGATCCGACCTCGCAGCAAAGGTGGCTTTGCGTTGTGATGAAATAATCAGTAATGGAGTCGCGTTGAGTAGAAGTCAGAGTCCTTGTTTATGAGCTCCAGATTGGAGTTGTCGGTGGGTCGATCTCAAGTCCGGATACGACGGTCGCTTCCCACGGCCAAATGCCGGCGCTCGACTGACATCAAGCGCCCATGGGAACTTCGCGGACAGCAAGGAGACGAGAAACGCTGGATTGAACGAGAGGACGACGGAATAGGACGTGATTGATTTTCACCTGGCTGTGAGGGCATTCGTTGGCGGGACGGCCCAACTACATAGGAGTAATAGATCTCTGTAGGGGACTCGAAGCAACCGGCGGCGGCCGAGGCGATTATTTCGCCGGAGATCCTGCACGCCACAGCGCTCGCTCTACCTCGATCTTCATCTTGTATTTCTGGCCAGGTTTGTTCACCTTGCGCGCGTATCTCCACCGGACGCCTGAAGAACTTCATATATCGATCAAAGGCGGGGATGCCTTGTCTATCGGTCCGTATAGCCATGGCCAGCTTCGTTCTCCCATTGACCGACACAACACTGCCTCAGCGCCCTCTCAGACAGGTGTCTTGGTTCGAAATCCACGAAGCCGATTGTGGTCGGAGGTAGCTGCTTTATGAGTATCCTAGGCTCAAGGACAGCCTTGTGTTATGCCACTTACGGTAGGGTGCTAGCGGGAGCTCGTCATCTCTGAAGTGCATCCCCTGGATGACTCTTCGCCGCAGAAGGATGTCCGCACAGATTCACTGCCAAACCTAGGAACACCCCTCCGATGTGTCAGAACATTCTCCTCGATCTTCTCATCACCTTCGGTGCGCTCAATGGTATAAGTTGAGAGTGTCACCTTCGCGCCCCCCGCACTCCTGTGTCAATCCCTCGACTCGCCTTCGTCCACTCTCGATAGCGCGTCGCCGTCGGTAAGCATCCTCAGATCTTCAGCCCTTTCACCTTCTTCAATGCGTACCTTAATTTTTTGGGACACTGTCAGACACTCATCGGACACCGCAGGTCAATGTGGCTTCTCGATACAGAGAAGATCCAACTTCAGTGGTTTTCTAGTCCTGACGACGTCTCATACGCAATCCTCTCGCATGTTTGGACTGCATATGAGCAGACTTTCCAAGAGACTCCTCGCTTTCGCACTTCTGGCACCCGGGGCATACTCCATCGGGCGCGCGACCGCGTACTACACCCTCCGTCAGAGAAGATCCGCAACGCATGTGCGAAGGCACGGCACGATGGCTTTCGCTGGCTTTGGGCGGATACTTGCTGCATCGACAAGACCAACAGCGCGGAACTCTCTGAGGCCATTAACTCAATGTACGCGTGGTATCAAGGTGCGGCCATGTGTTACGCGCTGCTGGACGACGTCCCGAACCTGAAGGAGGAGGACCCCCGCAGCCCCGCCTCCTCGTTCCGGAGAAGCAGGTGGCATAAGCGCGGGTGGACTTTGCAGGAGCTCATCGCCCCTCACTCCGTCATCTTCCTCTCTAGAGACTGGGAGGTCATCGGGTCGAAGCGCACCCTCGCGGACCTCATCGAAGAGGTGACGGGCATCGATCGGCGCGTGCTCATGCACAAGCGCAAGGTCGAAGATATCAGTGTCGCATGCCGAATGTCGTGGGCTGCACGAAGGGAGACCAAACGCATCGAGGATCAAGCGTACTGTCTCATGGGCATCTTCGGGGTCTACATGCCCACCATCTACGGAGAAGGCAGACATGCTTTCATTAGACTGCAGGAGGAGATTATCCGAAAGTCCCCGGACCAGAGCATCTTCGCCTGGGGATGCATCCTCGACGACTACCACTCTGGCGCATTCGTCACCAGCGCCAAGGAACATGACTACGCACCTCAATCCAACGTCGAGACTCTCCTTGCCTCTTCCCCTGCGGACTTTTCCGGATGCACGGACATCATTCCCGTTTCTCAGCGGAGCCTCTGTGACCGATTAGGCGTCGGAGAGACCTCCCCGGAATACACGACGTCGAGCCTTGGCATCCGCACCACATTCCCTCTTATCAGCATCACTCGTACATCCTTCGTCCACGCTGCCCTCGCCCTACTAGCTTGCGAGGATAAGCAGAGACGTATCATTGCGCTGTACCTACGGTCGCATCCGCGCTCGACGATGAGCAACCAGTTTCGTGTCGGAGGATACATCGCCCAAGGTGGGCGCCGTAATCCCTACTATCGCGCGACCCGCCTCTCTGTCTTCGAGCATAGCGACCTCGCTGTGACTGCAAAGATACGCCAGCCCTCCGGCAAGTACGCTCGTATCCTGGTTCAACCAGAGCTGAAGGAAGTGCATATCCACTCACATGACGGCACATCCAGCGTCGGCACGCCAAGGAGTGCGATCTTGTCTTCCTCCTCCCCTAGGTCCTCCATGGTGTTCTTCGAGCCCCCTTGCACTATCGTCCTATCACCTCGGTCCGTACAGAGGTTGCGAGACTTGGGATACCTCTTGCCGGAGATCCCCAGCAAGGGTTTCAGACTGAATGCACCGGGCGACTACAGGACCGTCTCGTTCCTGGCCTACGAGTCGTTCACGGTCCACATCGGTGTCTGCCCACTTGACCTCTCAAGCTCCACACAGAAGGCCCAGCTATGGGCGACCGTCCGCTTCGATTCTGAGCTCGGCACCATACTTGACGATTATGTCGCCAAGGCTGGCTCGTCTAAGCCCATTGGCGCACCGGAGCGAGAACCGGACGTCATTCCCGAGGAGTCGATGCTGGTACAATCGTGGAAGGACGGCCGGTGCACGTTCGGCTCGAAAGGTCGACAGGTCCGGCTAGCATTTAGCTACCCTTGTGCAGACGGGTTGGAACTAGATAAGAAGGTGTCGGAGGTGTATGAGTTGGATATCCGGTTTGAGGGCTTTTATCGACACCAGGGACGGATCGCGCTTGAGCGTAAAGGAACGATTAGTACAGAAGTCACCGCTCGATCAGGAGGGAAGCAAGTAACTCAAAGGACGTTCACCACTTGATTGGCGACACCGTAGGTTCTGGTCATAACTGGTATCGGACATTAGTGACACATGGACACCACCTGTATCAAGTACGTTAATTCGTTGATGAACCGTTCGTATCACTGCTCGACTACTTGGCCGTCGAATCGTAGCATTCCGCGAGGCCATTCCGAATCGAGATCTAAATGCCTGGGTAAGTGCCGGCTCGGCCCGTTTCGAGGGTCAGGTGCTATTGTACGGTCCGGAGTGAGGTATTTCGAGCACCTCCATGTCGTAGAAGTCAAGGTGTGCCGACGAAGCCAACCCCTAGTTATAAAGGATCCATCTGAGTTCATCCATGGACTCGGAGATCCCTTCTCTACTTGGTCCTCACACGATTCATCTGGCGGGCTGATGGCAGCTGATATCCCGTCATTCACGCTCAACACGGGCTATAAGATGCCCTCAGTCGGGATAGGGTGAGTTCGTTCGCTAGATCCCGTATCTGGTATGGTTTGTGCTGGCACACGAGCTAGAGAGGGAGGACGTCGTGCGGAGAATGTTGTGGTAGGTGCTGCTATCAGTAACTTTACTATTCTGTGTACATGAAAGTCGACTTGTAGAGGCTCCTTGGTTTCATTCGGAATGCGCGATCTGACGAATTGTAACCTGTAGGGTGTGGCTGGGCCCCGACGGTGGTGGAGAGGTCGCAGAGCAGATGTGTAAGACGGCACTACAGGTGAGCTGCACTCGCCTGCACAGACATCAAGTCGAGGCTGATACAGCATAGCTTGGATACAGGCATATTGACACTGTGAGATCTCCAGCGTACCGTGCATCTGAACGAACATGACGTGCTCTAGGCCTATGGCTACGCTAATGAAGAACAAGTCGGCAAGGCTATCCGGGAATCTGGTGTCCCTCGCGAAGAAATCTTTCTGACGACCAAACTACCGAACCACCACCACCACCGGGTCGCCGAATCGCTGCAGGAGTCCCTCGACAAGCTCGGCGTCGATTATGTTGATCTATACCTCATCCACTGGCCCCAGGCGTATACCGAAGACAACAAGACGATTTCATATGACGAAAGCCCAACATATATCGACACGTGGCGCGACATGGAGCGACTTCTTGGGACCGGGAAGGTCCGCTCGATCGGCGTATCGAATTTCTCAGTCAAATTACTGGAAGTGTTGCTGAAGGAGACAACGGTGGTACCGGCGACGAATCAGGTCGAATGCCATCCATGTCTGCCCTCGTTCGAGCTCAAGAAGTATTGCGATGAGAAGGGGATTGTTCTGACTGCCTACTCGCCGCTGGGTATGTATTGCGTCCCTCCCCAGTCCCTCAGAAGACCAATGGCTGAGGTGTGATCCAGGCCGTCCGAAAGAATATGATGGCAAACCGGTCTTCCTTGAGGACCCCGATATCGTCAGGATTGCACAAGCGCACAACTCCACTCCTGGCCAAGTCGCCCTCAGCTGGGGTGTACAACGCGGTACGGTGGTGATTCCAAAGAGCGAGAACCCAGAGCGAATCAAGCAGAACATCTCGGTGAGCGCGTCCTCCGACAGGTTATCACAAGTTTCCGACTTTCTGATCGTCACGAACGCTATAGCTGATCAAACTCGCGGACGAGGACATGTTGGCTATTGATGCTATCCATAAGAAAGCCGGAATGCATCGATCGCTCCTGAGGTACCATAAGAACAGCTCCGACGGAAGGATTTTCGGGTGGACATACGAGCAGCTGGGATGGAACATGAAGCAGGGCGGTATTGCGCTCGAGTAGGCGATTTGGGCGGAAGAATGAGCAAAGGGTTAATTTGTACCGTCGTGATATAAGATTCTTCATGCGTATGGCCTCTCGTGTTGAGGACAGACCGTTTGCGCGACAAGAACTTGCTCGAGGAAAGAGTAAAGCTGACAGCCATGCCAAGGTGGTGGTGGAGCTAGCAAAAGTCATCCAGAGGCACTACCAGGGTTCGAACCTGGGTTCTGGGAAGATCCACGCTAACCGGCCAACCTGGAGAAGAGGCCGACCAGCCAGCATGTTCAAAATCCCAAGTGATAAACCACTACACTATAGTGCCTTTGCCGCGCATCGAGTCCAAGCATACATAAATGCGCGGGGTCACAACGGGACAGACTAAGTTCCTCCTTTCTCCACGCTCGCTCACGTAGTTTTGATCTGTGTAACACAATCGCTCGCGACCTCCACCGGGCCCGGCGGGCTGTCATACTGGCGTGTCGGCTCAAGGTTGGTACTTACATGTCAGTCTTTCTCTTGTTGAGCGGCCTCTCCTTCTACCATCGTCTCCGACACAATTTCGGACGTGGGGTATACAATACAAACCTGACCTAGCATTGAACTGACCATTGTTTCTCGTAGGCAATCTCTCATGTTTTGCTTCGCTAGACAAGCAATATGACTCTCAGCGACTACTTCAGTTCAGCATGTCCCCACACGATCTTGTCGCACGAATGGAGTCTCGACGAGATGTCTTCTCAGGACACGACGAAGATTTTCCAAGCAGACCAATTGCACTCCACGCGAATGGCAGGGCACCCAACCTGATCCTGTGATGCCGGAGGTTTGTCGAGCTTGTGGGCTACGAACGATTATCGGATCAATACCCACTGTATCAACCACGGGAGCAACGCGGAGCTGTCTGAACCGATTTACTTGGTGCTCGCCCGGTATGCTGACGGCGACATCTGCCATCTGCTCCAGTATGAGGTCGGAGACGACGAGGAGCCTGCTGCTCAAGATCGTGTGGTGAACAAAGTAGATGGTGTCCGTAGCCAGATTCTGCAGGAACTTCTCGCTCCTATTCGTAAAATCTCCGTCATAAGACGTAGCATACGTTGGCTCCAAACAAACCCTTGCGCGAATGGAATTATTGACAGGTATAACCCTCACTCACAGACAGTCGCTCGTCAGTGTGTCAGCGTTGCACCTTTCAACCAGGTCATGCCGCGATGCCTGACTGCCTTTTAAGCGTAGCTGGGGCTCACATCCGTGAATAGTTGCTGGGGGAGCCCGGGTGACGCGCTCGCTGGCCCGAAGGGGTAGGTGGCGCGTCACGAGAGGGAATCGGAGAGGTTCGCTCGAGGTACTGACAGGTTATGAGAGTCTCGATTGAACGCTAGATTGTTGTACATACAGAGTCTTCTTATATATGGATTTTCGGGCGCTATAGTAAGTCTAAGGTTCGGGAAGACTCGGGCCAGGTACAAGTAAGATAAGAGAAGCAGAGATAGAGGAGAGACAATCCCGAAGCACGGAGTCGATCAGGTACGAAAGGAGAGAAGAGTAGTAGCGCACGACGCAGGCGCTACATACGCCCTCCTGGACGACCGCGCCGGTGCGGGGGCGGGGCGTCCATGTTTAGGAAGCGTTCGCGTCGCCCTCGGTAGCGTCGGGGTTGAATTCCATGGCCGTGTCCTCCCCGCCCGCGTGAGTGGTTTCGGACGCGAAGTCCGGGACGTTGAGGAGTTGAGAGAGGCCGATGTCCCCCCCGGGGAACCCGCGTTCGAAGGAGACCCCGCCTCGAAACCCAGGTCGAGACCCGCTTGGTTTTGGAGGTCGAGGGTAGTGGCCAGAGCCGAGGCGACCTTGCGCATGGCCGAGGAGTGGGCCCCGAGATGGGCCTTGCTCTTGCGACGAGCCTCGCGCCCTTCGTACTGACGGTGAGACTTCTCGATGCGGCCGGACTCGCGCATGGCGGCGTCAGCCTTGAGCCTCTCCAAGAGCTGTCGCTCCTCGCGGGAGAGCTTGAACCGGTCTTCTAACTTCTCCTCGCGTAGGAGCGTGGGATAGAGGAGCTCGGCGGGAGGGGGAGGGCGCGTGGTGAGTATTATAGCGCCCGAGTTGGGATCGACTGACGAGAACCCGTACAGGCTGTGCGTGTCCTCGTTCCAGATCGCCACGAACGTGTCTATACCGGCCGGTATCGGGTGCTCGGCGAAATCGAAATTCTTGCCCCAGCTGACCAGCTCCCACAGGTGAGTCTCGTGCTCGAGGTACAAGCGGAGGAGTTGAGCGGGATAGACGTGGATCCCGGAAAGGTGGGCGGAAGTGAGGAGTAGGTCCCGCCCGGGCAGAGGGTCGAGTGGACGTGCATGGTGAGCAGTGGCGGCTTGCGGGTTCGAGCGGCAGTGTCTGCGTCGACGGGAGGAGCTGGTAGGCAGCAGATGATCGAGAACAGGGGGCTGGGGTGAAGAATGCGGTGAGTCGACGTACCTGTTATATTCCTGGCAGACCTGACTGATGAGGCTCTGCAGGAATATGTCGACATGACCCGAGAAAATCTGTGGGTCGTCAGGAGGCGGCGTCCCCAAGCCTTCGGGGAGCTGATCGACTGACTCTAGTCCTAACGCCTCCAGGTACATTCTTAACGCGCCTAACGGTTCAGCTGTTTGAAAAGGAATCCAAGTCCAGTCCCCGGACTTTCACTCGGCTTCGAAAATCGCGTCAGTCCCTTTACCAACGTGTCCGACAATCTCACTAACAGCCCACTCATTGTCAGGGTCCTCAATCTCAAACACCTGAGTGTCCAGACTGTTGAACAGGCGCTGGTTTACACAGCTTGCCTAACACAGCCGTCACAAGATATGGAACGGCACAGCCGGTTACTGCAATAACTGAGGCTGTACTACTCATGTGGTACACACACAGCTTCGCTGTGTACGCACTGCTTCTCTGTGCGACTGTGCATCCTGGGAATGTACTGTATAGTACTACGTAGCCACAGATGTACAGTAGTATATATAGGGGACCTCTGTACCCCCAATCTACAGTTCAGTTCACTCGAACATCTCCTTTCATCGCTCTAACAAGCCTCTTACAATCAACAACCCTTCTAGGTGAGTTGCAGGCTATCCGCTGCCATTGCCACCCGTGGGAGAGGCCTTCGCCCCCCGGGTTCAACCAGG